TTCAACTTGCTTTGTAATCATTCATTCAACTGAAGATGACAGAAGCTCTGTCGAAACATGTCTTGCAAACTTAAAAAATTGGTCGTTTTCCTTAAAATAGCTCTTTTTGTGTTTTAATTTAGAGTAAATTAAAGCTTTACTGGCATATATTATCAGATGGTATTTATATGAGTTTTTGTTTATTTTAATATTGTTTTGCCCTTAGATGGGAGGTGTACACTTATCAATTTTTGAAAACGTCATGTTATTTTATCTTTCCACAGATGCCAACTCAAACAAAAATAAGAAATTCCTGGAACAGTGGAGTACAGAGGGTGTTCAGTGGATTAGAACAAGCACCACAGACTGCTTGGGAACTGGGAGCAAAAGGAGCTTCTAGTGCAAAAGACTTCATCAAAGAGCAAATCAAATAAAGCTCGATTACAATTGATATACATCCGGAAATGTTAAAACTCTTCAAAAGACACTGAAGCAGAGCGCAAAGCTGACAAAAGATCTGAAAAAATTATGTACAGTTTTGGTTCATTTGTACTTTCATGCTGTTAAGGAAACATACTTTGAATGGGCTTAATAAAAACAAAATGTGACAGGGTTTTGAAGTACAATTTTCCCTCTATAGGAAGATTAATATTTAAATGCAAGTAATGCACAAACAAGAATAAATCTCGCTAGTTTGTACAATAATTGAATTCATCAACCGCTGAAATTGAAATGGATCAAGGAGATAAATAGATTATCTTTTAAAAAAACTGTTTTGAAACTGGCCTAAAATAATAGAGTTGATCTTATAAAAACCTCATTAAAACAACCTTCTGCTGCCTTCGTTGGAGAATTGTTGATTTGTCTGGAATGTAAAGCTTGCGGAAAGGTGTTGTAATACCTACTCACGTTTCTTTCTGGAATTTCAGTGTAGCCTGGGTAAATGTCGTGATCTGTTGTTTCGGTGTTGTGCCAAATTGGTGTAATTGCCCTTTCATTGTTCAACAGTAAAGGTGGCCCATTTGACTTATTCAGGGTGAAGGGGGTGATTTTGACAATTAAGTATCCTGCATGTATACTTGTACCAAAAAAATTCATGCACGAAATCACTGCTGAAAAATAATTTCACGTACGTTCATGAGCAGTGAGCCAAAAACTAGCATGTTAAAAAAATTCATACCTATACCAGATCAAAAATGTCCCATAACTTTACTGAATTTGACGGGGGGAGATTTATTGTCCAAGTTTTGCTATAGAGTGAAACGTCAAGACCGGAAAACACACCGTGGTCAGATTAAAAGAGATTGGGGTGGAATAGAACCATACAGGACTGTATGATTTCTTCTCCGCACTACCTAGAGGCCGGTACAACTTTGAGAAATCAAAAAACTGGAAATGGAAGATTTTAAGATAAAGACAATACAATACTTTTCATTTTTCTATGTTGACTTTTATTTTTAAGATGCACGCTTGAGCAATGTCAGCGGTTTCGGGAATCGTTTTCACAAGCTGAAAACAAACAAAAGAAAATTAACGTTAGGATTTGAGTGAATTGCTAGTGAACAAAAACGAACGAGCTCGTGAGAGTGGCGCCATACAATCGGAAAGATAGCTACGCTTCTCATTTATCTTAAACTCAGTGTGTTGTGAACAAACGCTTAGCGTCCAGTTAAAATAGCGAGCAGTCATAACGGAGAAACAGATAACACAATTCGTGTCTTCTGATTGCTATTTGTTTGGTTTTTGACGTTTTTCTCTCCCTCGTGCTGCTGCGAAAGCGTCTGATGTCTCCCAAAGCTATTAGAGTCATAAGGGGGATAGGTAACCGATCAGAGTGCCTCATTTTTCAATCTACCTTTTCAGTTTATGTGAGAGCATGCCTCAGGCGCCATTAGAAGATGAAACATTTGGCACCTTTGTTTACAAATCCCATCCCACCACTTTAACTTCGAATTCTCTTTCACAAGATCCCAGAACAGCCCAGTAGCTCGGGCTTCTCGGGTCTTATTTCTTTTTGCGAACTTTGCTATTTTTCCACGATCTGGTGCAGTTTTTTTTTTTTTTTTTTTTTTGCGTTTTAGTGGCGTTTGTACGTTGCAAACGTTTTTGCTGTAATTCAGGGAAAGTGACAATATTTAACAAAACCTGTCAATGGCGGGAAGGGTCGATTGCGTTTCTTCCTGGCCTTAAGGGCTCAACCCATTCCATTCTTCCCATCCAGGCCTGCTTTGCAAAACGTTTTCCTAATTATCAGCAGATTATAAAAAAAGCATATTCTATCATGTAAATGACTAGTGATTCAAGGACTGCGCTCCTTCAACCCGGGTACTGTTAGGTTTGGCAATCATTGGGTTCACCCAAACAGCTAATATTTGCTTAAAAGTTCCTTTAGCAGCAGTGAACGGAAGCCAAATTCTACCTAGCAAAGTCGACAGCTTTTCCTGCATTTTTCTCTGACAATTTCCATTGTCTTGCAATCGCCTTTAGGAACATGGTAATCGCAGTAACGGCCAGTATCCTCGCAGTTTCCTGAAAAACATGATCAACACGTTTTCCTAGATATAAGACAAAATACGCCGGGTGCACTCAGAGAAGAGAAAACAACCTTGTGTTTCAGTACGCATTTTCCCTGAACCCGAACTTCTGACGAGCGCAACATTTAAGAAGAACCTATGTCTTTTCTCTACGAATGCGAGTACCTCCTTAGTAAGCGATTTAAAGGGGTAAGTAAGTAAGTAAGTAACCTTTATTTAAACACGATAAGTAATTAAGCTTGCAGCTTGTGGGGTCGTGTATAAATAAACAATAAATAAGAATTAGAAAATAAGAATTAAAAAAAAAATTGCTAATAAGAAGGAATGAAAGAATGACTTCCTATAAATGGCGTTTGGTTTTTTACAGTGTTTCAGCCTCTTTCAGGACTGGAAAAGGATTTCGACTGTAGACGTCCTAAAATACAACGACTTGCGGAATCAGTGTTTTTGTTTTAAAACTCTTCAAGTCTTTTGTTGTTAAGGCATTATCTGAAATATAATAGAGTTAAAATGAAGGGAATAATTCCGGGTATAAACAATCAAAACAACTACTTCTGCAGACGGACTGTCATTCAAAGATATTGTGGAAGCTTCCATATCACTGACAACTGGCTTTTTTAGTGTCTGTCTTGATTTTCTTACCTGGTGGGGGTGGGGCCGGATTCCCGCCCCCTCCTCCATTACATCTGTACATCATATTTACTTGTTTAATATCTATCTTACTCAAATAGCTTCGGTTACCGATTCTGACCTGTTTGAGGAGGAATTAAATCAGTTTCACAAAGATTCAAATCATCAAACAGTCGATGTGAATACCAGTTAGTAAGAGGTATTACCACAGAATCATTATGACATAAAGTTGAAATAGTTGGTAAAAAAGTAAATGCACACGGTTGTTGTTCTTTTTATGTGGCTGTAGCCAGTGCCAATCAATCAAATTGATCCATGTTGCCGAACGTCTGTTGAGTAATTGATCATAAATATAAAGAAGCCAAAAATTACAATAAAGAAACCAAAAAATATCATAAAGAAACCAAAAAATGTTAATGACGTTATCTATGCATCTGTCCTCCAATTGATAATAAAATACGTGCCAATAAAATACTAGAATAATTCGACTTATTACATCAATTTAACAAATAGATTCCATGTTGCCGTGCGTCTGTTCAGTAACAGATCACAGAAACGTGGCACACGAGGCGATAGCCGAGTGTGTCATTGATGTTCTTACCACATTTTGACGTCTTCTGTTTTCTGTTACTGAACAGACACACGGCAACATGGAATCTATTTGTTTTATATAATAAAGAAACCACAAAATATGTCAATGAAGTCATCAATGCGTCTGTCCTCCAATTGATCATAAACACGATTAACATGAGCCAGAGGTTAGTGCCCATACCCCTTGCCTTCTTGGCTGGATTGTATATCTGTTGTTGCGGCTGAATTCTTTGGGCGCATAGTGCATGATGCTGTCATAGTCATATGGTGTACCCAGCGAGTCAATTGTTGACCTGGGATATTTATTGAAGTTGAACAATTGATCTGAAATTAAAAAAAATGAAAACTTCAGCAAAAGTAACTGAGTTCATTCGATATTTAAAGAGTATAATGCGTATCGCCAAAAAATCCCAATTTTCTTAAGATTAGAGCCAACACTTCTTCTTACTTAGCAACGTTTAACAAAAAAAGTTGAAGTTATAAGCTGTGGCAGATGAAATTACTATTAATTAACTCATGTTTGCGAATTTCATTTTTTCCACATCGAAATAAAATCATAACAGGGATATTAGGATCAAAGAGGGACCTGGTAGGAGAGTTGAAGCCGGCTTTGTCCTGTAAGAGAGAAAGGAATAACGATAACAATAGACAGGTTCAAAGTTAAGTGAATGCTAGAAGGAGGTGTGACTGTCTTACTGGGTATAACGTTCTGTCTGTAAATGACGACATAATCATCCCTGTCTGGTCTTGACTGCTCATGGTACAACCCGAGAGCGTGACCTACCAAAATAAACAAGATGTAGCTTTTGAAAAGTAACATAAGTTCAAAGTATCTTTTCCCTCACTATAAGCGTTACATATGAACTTTATACCTTACCAATCTCATGTGCTACAATCCCTGGAGTCCAACAACCACCGGCCAAATTTATGTTCTGAGGATTTCCAGTTTGTCCAATCCATGAAGAACACCTGCAAAGATTTATAAATATGTGTAGAAACAAAATAGAAGGTCATTATACGATATAGATCATGGTCCTTGGTAGCCCACAATTAGCAAAGATGACAAAAAGCAGTAGGGCAAGTGAACTGCAGAGTAAAAGATATCTTTACGCTAATTCTAACACCGGAAAATAACTTTGTCTTAGTTAAGTACTCAGAAGGCAGTATGCACTCTTTGCTTACCCTTGCCCCATTTGGAAATAAGCGTAACTTCTCTCATTCTGTCTTCTTTCTCTGAACTTGATGCATGTTGTTGAGGCCCACATGTTGATCCCTTTACGTATCGCGTCCATGGCGCGGGAATATCGTCCTGAAATAGAACGCGTTTAAACTTTAAACTTTTGTGTTAATTTAATAAACAAAAGTCCTTTGTCTAATTTCAATAATGTTGTAAATGATACAGTTACCAGCAGGATATGAGTAACGGCAAATATTACAAGGATACAGGACAACAGTTATAGAAGCAGTGAGTTGTTTCGTCCACTCTAAGGAATGGGTGTGATGAACAGGCTGTTTAGAGGAGACCAGTCATGGTTGAGTTTAGATCACGTTCAGTAACAAACTGAACTTAGGTTTGTCAAGAGGAACATTAATAAGGATTACTGGAGTGAAACAACCATGCCCATACAGTTTTTGACTCTGTGGTAGTTATGGACTGTTGAGGGTCATTATGCGGACCTATTCATCGGGCCTTTACCGACCTTTATCTGGCCTTTGCCGCAGCTGCTACTGCACGTTTTCTGTGCTGAAAAGGTTCAGTATCATCTTTCTGAGCTGATATCAAGCCAATGTGCGTTGTCAAAAAGACTAGCTTCTACTGACGATACTCACTCAAGCTGTTGGTGATAGAATAAACAAACACTCCGTCACGCCACCGACCCCTTCTAGCTGAACCCCGGCTGACGACTTGATCCACGTCCTGGCCTGCCTCCGCTGCAGCTCTCTGTTTTGGCGTCAGTAACATGTCACCTTCATATAAGTTTGGGTTGTTGGCTCCAAGGTTCTCTTTTGAGGAATTGCAAGTGTTGCTTACTATTAAGGTTTCAGTACGATATTTCCCTCTTTCATAAGGTTTACTCAGAAAAGTCTTGCATGTGCAACATAAATATTTACTATATCTTTGTGGGAAATGTTATTAAGGAAAGGTTATTAATGCATGGAAGGTTATCATTTCCGAGGGATTTGGGCGGCTTCCTGTCTTTTTCCTGACAGAGAAAGGTATTTGGCATTTGTGCCTGTGGGTGGGTGGGTGGGATACTCATTTAGTTTTGGGGGAGTTCAGCTTGTATTTGGGGTTGGCGTGTGTTTCCTACAATTTGAATCGCAACAAACTGAAAAAAAAGTTACAAGCCGAGCAACTAAGGATCTTAACCTTCGGGCTTTAGCTCTCGTTTGTAATAGAAAACTACAAAAAAATATCATCGAAAAATTCCGCAAAAACGTTTTAAAACTTAGGAAGCGTATTTCAGGCGCAGAAGAAATTTATTACAACTTGTTTATTCTCACCTTCAGGACTGGGTTTACGTGACAGACAAGGAGCCGCGAGGAACACAAGTACCAGAACTAATTGCATTCTGCTAAAGGCTTTATATTTTGCCTCACACTGTATTGCAGTTTCCGCAGAAAAGGAATAACATTGATGGTTAGCTTTAGAATACAACTTTTATGCCGCTTTTTGTTTCCACAGCTGAAGAATGTGAAAACACAGCTTTCTGCAGTATTTCAATATTCCAATCTATCCGAATTCTTTGGCAAAATTAAATTATATCTCAGATGGAACAACTTTTGAAATAAAATATGTGTGTGAGTCTTTTCAATACATAATAGTCTCTAGGTAAGACATAAGACACAATTTTACATTTTATATTAAGGTTTGAAATATTAATTATGAACTCGCCTCATCTAAACAGTTTATATGTTGTTTGCCTTGTCTAAACATACATGTTTTTAGGAGTTATTTCTTCTGTGGTTTCTGCTGTTGTAATAACACTTTGAGTTTGCAGAGTGACGGATGAACTAACATTGTTAGCATAGGAAATATCTCATCAAACATTGCAACCGTCACCGGTATATATGAAATCCTAAAAGCTTAGTTTGCTTTTTTATTGTTATCTATATAGGGTTTCATACTCATTAAACTGTTGAATCTTTTCTAAACAAAGATAGCAAACAAAACAGAAATTCAACGAAAAATTCAATTCAACAAAACATGTGAAAATAAACCTCGTGCATCTGAATGAGACGAAGTTATGTTAAAGTATTTTTCAACTTGATTAAAATTGTCCTTTGGACAAAATTCCCGTGTATATCCTTTTTGGTAAGATTGTTCCCATCAATGTAATGGCTGGCAAACAGGATTTTTATTGCAAGGTAGAAAAAGGTTTATTTTGTAATATGTCTCGGCATTTAATTCCGTGTACTTTTCGTACCAGCAAGCTCCCTGAATCCGACTGAAGCTACTGTGCGTGCGAGGGATTTCTTCATGCAATGTCGACTCTTATTGACCTTCATTATTAGAAGCCAAACGCCTTTTCCGGTTCTTTTTTCCTATCAAACCTGAAAGCAGAAAATATGTATTTTTTAGTTTTATTCCACTAAAGATACGTGCATAACCGAGGTTCCATACTCTTGAATTGGTTGCAAAGATCATTACAAAAAGAGGAAAGATGAAATGGATAATTAGCAGATATCTACGTATTAACGTTTAACATGTTTAATAAGGTTTTAAATAAGGCCGTCGTTTCAACTACGGGAAATGTGTCCGAAAGCACTGAAAGAACCTCATTTTCCAAATGCAAGTAACTGAATTACGCTGAGAAGCTCTAAGTCAGAGATGACGTCACTTATTATATGGCTGGTTTCGCGAGCTTGTAAGATGAGGCAAATCTTGTGCTGAGATTGGCTACCCGAGTGGGCAAGATAGCGCCATCTTGTCCGCTCAGGGTTACCTTCTGTTTTCCCACAAGATACTGTTTATACCACGTCTCTATCTATATATACACACGCAAAACAAAACAAAAATATTATAACACCAACATCCAACCATCTTGACCGAACACTCTTGGTCAATAGTCCATGCTGTTTTCTACGACAAAATTTGCATTTAAACGGAAGGTGTAGACGGGTACATACATGTAAATAGAGGATATTACACGGTGGGGCGAAGATGAATTTTATTTTCGAGTGGTAAAAACAGTATTTTACGAACGAGCGCAGCAAGGGGGTAAATTGTTGTTTTCAACACGAGAAAATAAAATTCATATCTTACAGCCACTGAGTAATTCTCTTTTTATTATACAGACAAACTGACTGGTTGCACAAACAACCGAGAAAATGCGGGAGATAGCGTCATCAATAGCCTCTCTAATGAGGATATTGCCTATATTATCAGAGCAAAATTACAAGACTTTGTATGGGAAGTTTTTACGATCGATTCGGTGTCTGCTGATTTGAAACGATTTCAGCGAGTTATTTATAGCCTTCTAGATTCTCTGTGGATTCCACGGTGAACTGTGGTAACTGGACAAATGAGAGCGGTATAACTTCTCATGAAGTACCGTGGCGCAAGTAATGAAGAGAGCGAAGAATACCTTGACGTCTTAGCTTTTCAAAGTAATGAGAGTGTTGTGCCTTTGAGCTGTCGAGTCTACGCGCAAAAGTACAGGAAATGGTTCATTAACCTGTGAGAAGTTGAAGATCGGCATATGATGAATTTATTATGAAGAAAGCTTCCACTTTCACTAATGCACACCAGCTGGAGGCGCCATCGCCGAATGATATATTGATATTCAGGTTTCAAATGATTCCGTTCAGTTTGACTCTCGTGGTACAATCTCAAAATGTATCGAACAAAACCCCTTTTTACCAAGGTTATCATGAACTTATTAACTTGCGTTCTAACAGCGTGTTCTGTGTTCGGTAATGGTTTCATTCTGGGAGTTCTTGCGCGGTTATATCGTTCCGAACGGTTCCGAACATTTTGGTCGGTAACCTGGCTGCGGTAGATCTACTCAACGCTGCCACGAACTTGCCGTTCCATATGATGTCCATCTCAGAGGTCAGCTGGTTCAGAGGAAAAACTTTAGCACTGATTACAACCTTCATTAACCGAGCCTTCATAACTTTGAACCTAACTTCGGTTCTAGCTATGGTAGCAAATGTGTACCTGGCCATTTCGTTTGATCTCAAGTACTTTACATGGAAGACGAAGAAGAAAGCCTTAGTTTGCGTTTGTATCATCTGGCTTGTCAATTTGTTGATGTTATTCTTGTTTGCCATCCCGTTACTCGATATCAATCTTGATGATTCTCACGTTAATGAATACAGAGAGGAGATCTTTCAACAAGGAAAGAATTTTGCTGCAGCGTTAGTGGCATTATTTATTGTTTGTTGCGGAGTTTGGGTTTCCTAACAGCTCGTGCCATAAAATGAGGAAGAAGAAAAAGAAGGTAAACATGATTCTCAAAAGCCACACCATAATTGTGGTGCATCATAAACTAAAAAAAGCACAATGTTTTCGATAGTAACGTGAATTTCGGCGCTGGTATAGGAAGGGCCATCATTATACATTCAGTCAAAATGCTATCTAATACATTTTGAAATTAGTCACCAGCGTGTAAGCATCCGTCTGACTTCAGAGGAGGGTTGTTTCGAAAAAAGCACTATGGTGTCAATGTATAATGGCCTTTGGGCCTTATAACAACTCAAATGAGATTCTAAGAAAGAAAAGATGCAGCTTTCAAAATATGGAAAGTTGCATCTTATATTTTTGTTTCGGAGCAAAAATGGAATTGCGAGTTTGTAATCCATTTTTGTTGCCGGCCTTGCTTCCGGCTGTGGGAATAATTGTTATTTTGTCTATCTAAGCCATTATTTTATGGCTTACGACAGTCTGGTTACGAATTCGTTAATAAGCGAAAAGAAAGTCGGTTATTTTCTACTAAGCATCTTAGTTTATAATAGAATTTTAACAGCATTCCTCGTGGGTATCTAAGTGATAATAGTAAACGTAATTTGAATTTACTTCCATGTCACCTTATAAATGCCTGTTTTACATGTAAGTCGATTGATGAAGTGAACATGACAGGTTTTGTACTAAACCAAGATGTCATACGTAACTTTCTAATTCTAAACTGGAGGCACATGAAAATTTGCAAAATGGTAAAGACCCGATTGAGTTCTTCACCCAGCAGTGTTTTCTCGGCAGTCTTTCCTTCTTCTCAATAGGACTCAGTAGGATTATAGCAAACGTATTAAGCTCACTTAGCTTAGCCTTGGGTAGATGCCAGGGGCTTGTACAACCACTGAAAAGGCGCGGTATAATCATAACATGGAAAAAGCTTCTTGAGGAAAAAAAATCAAACGACACCGACATAAACAATGATCCAGGCCTCAGTATAAACCGGCGAGAGCGATGTGCAGTGAGAATTATATTGGATATCTGTCATTCTACACAGCGTGCAGAGTGTGGGCAAAGATCGCCACATGACCATTTCTGAAGTGCATTTGTAAAAGTCACAACATCGATATTGATGCTAAAAACGTTCCTTTGAAATGTTTAGGAATTAAACATCGCCTCTTATATACAGTAATGTTCAACAGTATAAATCATGGACTAGTGTGTAATTAAGAAATAATAAGCACAGTTTAGTCATTGCAAAGCCTAAAGTTTCAAGAGTTTCACAAGATGTTTTTTTTAATGCGTCATTATAGTGTGTCTAACCCTGGATATTGTCTCTCTTGCTACTATTATGGAAGGGCCTGAAGGAGTAAAATGGAACTCTAACTATTTTTCTGCCTGGGAAATGGGATTTGGATCACTGGGACTGGGAAACAGAAAAAAATGGGAATGGGCTTGGTATTTGGGCAAAACAATAGGTTGGGAAATGGGATCTCGATCAAATTTGGGCTTAGAAATGGGACTTTGCATGCCACACACCTTTTTGTGAGGAACGAGAATCTCTCTTTTCGTTTTTTTTTCTTAGAGAGCCGAGATGAATCTACCTCCTCTTCAAGCTGAGGCTCGCCTGAAGTGTGATATCAAAGCTATCACAACTATAGCTATTACCATAGCAACGTACTTTCTCTGCTATGTCCCTTCCATCGTGTATGCCGTGACGGGTCTGCAGAGTGAAAACCAGGCGGAGCATTTGGTTTGGGTTCAGTGCATGGTACTGCCTGTACATCTCAAGTGCTGTCAACCCGCTCATCTATTATCTACGAACCAACAGGTTTCGTTCTGCTTTCAAACAGTTCCTCAAAGATCCTTTCGGATCAAGCGACTTCAAAGAGAAGCCTCGCAGCCGCAGAAACCGCGAAGAAAAACGAAAAGTTAAAGGGGTCGAGTTAAAGAAGAGGGATGGTGAAACGACTAAAACCGGACAAATACGTGAAGTTCAGATCGATGTAAACCAAACAAAGTGAGAATATTCTGCAGTCGCAAAAAGGAACGATAGATTGATTTTATCCATTAACAATCTACCAGCTCAGGACCCTTGCATTTCAGTAATTTCATTTAGTTGGCGAAAATACTGAATGGAGAAAAGCTGGAAATTATATGAAGCGAAGAAAGTTTCAAAGTCATGTGAAGGAAACGGATAACAACAAGTGGGAGAGAAGGTGAGAAGAAAATGTTCAAGGACACAACATTTGAGAAATAAGCCTTCAGTTAGTAGTAACTTGGAATGGAAGGGATCTAGCTCTACTGACCCAGCAC